TTATTTATTTATTTATTTATTTATTTATTTATTTATTTATTTATTGTGGGAGGCCAGAGAACAACTTTTGGGAGTCATTGCCCTCCTTCCACCAAGTGGGACCCACGGATCTAACTCAGGTCGTCAGGCTGGGTGACAAGCATCTTTACCAGTTGATCCATCTCATGGGACATCAGTTTTCAAAACAAATTCTTTTCTTACGCATTCGAATTTCTGTTGAAAAGGCACAATACCAGCGGGGTGGGATGGCGTACCTGTTAATCCCAGCACTCTTGAGGCTGAGGCAGGAAGATCACAGATTTGAGGCTAGCCTGGGTTACATAATGATATTTTTATCTTTAAGTTAAGGGAAGAGAAAAGAAGGCCCGGCTGGTGGTGCCCGCCTGTTTCTCAGTTCTCAGGAGGCAAAGGAATTGTTGCAGATGTGAGACGAGAGCGAGAGCGAGAGAGAGAAAGAGAGAGAGGAAGAAAGGAGGAGGAGGAGGAGGAGGAGGAGGAGGAGAAGGAGGAGAAGGAGAAGAAGGAGAAAAAGGCTCCTTTCCGGCTGTCCCAGGGCCACTATCCTAAAGCCTGTCACCTGCCTTTCTTTGATCTTTCCCCTACTGTAAAAGTGAAAGTGCCAAAATTGAAAACAGAACATGTTATTCATCTGCTCAGCCCTCTCGTGATTCCCTGTTTCATGCAGAGTGAAAAGATATGCTGGAACATATCCGCGTCAGGAGGTCAGGGAAGAACTCTCAGGATTTGCATGACCAGCAAGTTCTCAGATGGTGGTGATGTTGCTGGGCTGGGGCCCATTGTGGCTCGTCCATGATGTGACCGGATCTTCAGGTGCCAACGTGAAGAAGTGGCCACAATCAGTGTTAAGTGGAAGAAAACAAGAGCAGGCAATCTAGAACACATGACTGGCAGCAGGGATGTTCCTTCCAGGGCTACCTGTGTGACTTCTTGTGCCCCGGACCACAGCTTAGATCTACGATTTATTGCCTACATGTATGTGAGTGCGCCCATGTCGTACAATGCCACGGAGGCCAGAAGAGGGTTTCAGATTCCCCTGGAACTGGAGTTAAGGACGATTTGTAGCCACCATGTGGGTGCTGGGAATCGAACCCGGGTCCTCTGCAAGAGCAGTCAGAGCTCTTAATCGCTGAGCCATCTCTCCAGCCCCTATTATTTTTATTTTATATCTATGAGTGTATTGCCTGCATGTGTGTAAGTGTACCTGTGTCGTGCAATGCCTGTGAAGGTCAGAAGAGGGTGTTGGATCCCCTGAAACTGGAGTTACAGATGGTTGTTAGCCATGTGGGTGCTGGGACTCGAACCCGGGTCCTCTGCAAGAGTAGCCAGTGTTCTTAACCACTGAGCCATCTCTCCAGCCCCCAGATCTATGATTCTTATGCCTTTCTTGACTCCAGTGGGCACTGTTCACATTGTAGTCTTTGTGAATGGCTTTCATGGAGTTGTACAGTGCCCAACATGCATAGCTGTACTGGGAAGACTCAGGTCTCTCTTCTCCCCCTCCCTTTCTCTCTGCTTCAGCCGCTTACCCAGAGGTCAGGGCTGGGCAGAAACACATAGAGGCAAATTATGGCCCCAGCTCTCTCTTCCTGTGTCACCTCCAGAAGTGACTTATTCTGTGATCAGAGTTGGCTAATTCATTTATAAAGTGACATCAGTGATGCCTGCCTCATTGTATTTCCAGACCCATTTCCAGACTGTGTTGCTTGTCTGTGCATGGATGTAGGACCATCTACTACAACATGGTAGCCTTTCAGGGAACCCATCCCTGAAGAAAACTGACTTTCCTTGGCCCAGCAGCCATCGTTAGCCAATAGCTCCTCAGTTAGGAATGGCACTTCCTGATCTTCTCCCATACCCCAGTGCTGGGATTTTGTCTGGCTTTATGTTGTGTAGATCTTGTACGTGCTGTCACAACTGCTGTGAACTCCTATGTGCAGTTGCCCTGATGTGCATAGAAAACAGTTTTCTGTAATCATCTACCAGCTCTGGCTTACATAAACTTTCTACTCTCTTCCAAAGTGGTCCCTGAGTCTTGGGAAAAAGGAGTGTGATATACATGTTCCATATGGGGCTGAGCACCCTGCAATCTCTTATTCTGCATGTTGACCAGTTGTGGGTCTTTGTGTTAATCTCTGATGAGGGCGAGAGATGTACTAGTCTATGGGTATAATGATAAAATATTGAGTCAGTATTAAACTCTGTCCATTTAGCAGAATAATAACAGTGGGTTCTGTAGGAACTATGGTTTACTTATCTTTGGGCTCTTGGCTCTGTTAGCAGCCAGGTATGAGTTATATCTTGTGGAGTGGGCCTTAAATCCAATTAGAAAGTGGTTGGTTACTCCCATAACATTGGTACCATTATTGTACCAGTGGGCATATCTTGCCAGGCTGGTGGTTATTGTAGCTTGCAGAGTTCACAGCTGGATAAGACTGATGATTACTTTTCCAGTAGTGTGCATAACCCCTTCCAGCACATAAAAGCTAGCCAGTAGGGATGAAACTTCCAGGTCTGTATTGATTTCTTGATTTCTCCATGTCCTGTGATTCAAATATGTGGTATCTTCAGCAGTAGGGTCTTACCGTCAAGTTCTGAAGGGTAATCAAGAGTATGGCAATAGCCTGCAATGTTTGGGGGTCTATGTATAAGAAAGATTAAATATTAGTCTTTTCTTTAAAACCCTGTAAAACTTGGAACATGGTTTATGGCAAGGGAATTGTAATCTTTTTAAAAATTTTTATTTATTATTTTTATTTTATGTGTATGCATGTATTGCCTGCATGTAGGTAAGTGTACCTGTGTTGTGCAATGCCTGCAGAGGTCAGAAGAAGCTGTCAGAGCCCCTGCGACTGGAGTAATGGACAGTTGTTAGCTGCCATGTGGGTGCTGGGATTTGAACCCAGGTCTTCTGCTAGAACAACCCGTGTTCTTAACTGCTGAGCCATCTCTCCACTCCCAAGAATTCTTATCTTTTAATTCCACCACACTCAGTAAGACTTCTGTTTAAGGAAAAGCCCTGATGCATTTTTGAGCCTGGTGGCCTGAGGCAGTGGAACTTTTCTCCCTTTGAGCTGATTCTTTTAAACTAGCCAACCAAGAAAGACTGTGAGGTTGAACTCCAGTGGGGAAAAGACACAGTACTCTTGCATTAGGGATAAAAGCTTGCCAAGCTTCCTGTGTGCTTGCTGGATCTGACTGATCATGCATTGGACCCTTTTTGCAAAAGTAAAATCTGCCTTGCTGAGTTACTTGACTTTGTGTGCATGCTTTTTGTGAGCTATTGATGGGGTCCTTGGACCTCAGATTTTATTTCTAACATAATGAAACCATGCTGGCCAACATTCCCAGAGCCTTCCTTTTTATTTTTTATGCTGAGACAATATTTCACTCAGTTGCCCAGGCTGGCCTTGAGCTTTCCATCTTTCTACCACAGCCTCCCAAGTGGCTAGGATGAGAAATCTGTGCTACAGACCAAAGAGTATATTCCATCTTTAAGTCCCAGGTCTAAATTACTTCAGTCTGGTCCTATCCTACTCAGGGTTGGGGACCAGAAGAGGGTGGTATTCAAGTGAGGTTGGTATTAGCAGCATGGGTAGGGGTGGACGTGGCTAGGTGCACTCACCAAAATCTAAATCCTTTGTGCTTTTCTTTGTTGGTTTCCAGACAGTCCTTCCTGGCTCAGACATCACAGCAGGTGCTGTGGTTTGTTTCCCACAGTTGTGTGCCTCCTCCTTCCACTCTTCCCACCCTGTCTGACCTCATTTGTGCTCTAACCCTGGAGGTGGCATGTGGCATTGAGGGAAGGTCTGAATGATTGGTGTGTCTGAGCCTGGTTGGTGGTGTTGGATGGGAAACTTATGTTATGAGTAGTACAAGTCTGGAGAAAGCCCCTGGAAACAACTTGCTTGCCGCCTGTGGGTCTCACAGAACACTTGCTTCTATTTCACTGATGGTGCATGGGGATTGCTTCTGTCTCTATTGAGGGTGGCCAACTGAAGCTTGAAAATCCAATGAACCTGCAGGAACTTTGGGGATGATCTTGGTCTAGGCTTAGCAGGCAGAATGCTCACTTACTCATCCAACATGTATCTTGCTTTAGGGTAGCATGTGCCAAGTGGTAGGAAGCAGTGACCAAGATAGGTACCAGTTCCTGCCCTTGGGATGTTGAGCTATTAAAGAGAGGAAGAGGCCAATGAACAAGAAAATAAGGAAATGCCAAGCCAGGCTGAGGCAGGCAGGTTAGAGTCTGAAGCCAAATCTGGGATACACAGCAAGACTATGTCTCAAAAAAACCCTCTTCCTACCCCTTAAAGAAGTGACACAGATCGAATATGAGGTTGTAATAGGATTATGATAAGATGATGACAATCATTAAGGAGAAAAATAAGGGCCAGCAGATGGCTCAATGGGAGAGCCACTTGCTTCCAGGCCGGACAACTTGAGTTCCATTCTCAGGCCCCACATGGTGGAAGGGAGAGTATCAACTCCTGTAAGTTTTCCTCTGTCCTCCACATATGTGTGTGTGTGTGTGTGTGTGTGTGTGTGTATATACACATACAATAAATAAATGCAATTTTTTTAAAGTTTGGAGTATATGAAAGGGGCTATCTTGGAAAAAAAATTTTGGTGAGTTTTTTTGAAGTATGTTTGTTACAAACTTTTTTTTGAGATTGCAAGGCTAGGCTCAAACTCCAGATCTTCCTTCCCTGTAGTCACTAAA